GATGATCCTAAAAAAGCATCCAAAATTATTGACAAGCATCTACGAAATCGAAATTTTATAGTTTTTGATTTCACTAAACCAACTGATGATCCTTTAAGTATACGTCTTGGTTGGGATACTCCTTTGAAATTAAATGAATAGAATAAGTTTTCAAAGATTAAAAATATTTCTCCTCAATGTCACCAAAACTATCACTAAATGATGCTTGTGTTATTGCTGAATCCCGTGGTGGAAAATGTCTTTCAGCTGAATACAAAGATAATAAAACTCCATTAGTATGGATCTGTTCTAAGAATCATACATGGAGTGCCCACTTCGTCGAATTAAAAATTGTGGAACTTGGTGCCCGCACTGTGCAGGTCATGTAAGACATACTCTTGAAGATATCAAAAAAATTGCGTCATCTAAACATGGAGAGTGTCTTTCAACTAAGTATAAAAATAATCAATTACCATTAATATGGCGTTGCAAAGAAAATCATTTATGGCGAGCATCTCTTGGCAATGTAAAAGTGGTAAGTGGTGTCCATTTTGTGCGGGTAATGCCCGTCTTACTCTCGAAGATGCCAAGCAAATTGCAATTAGCCGAAATGGTAAATGTCTTTCAACCATATATAAAAATTCTGATACCCCAATGACATGGAAATGCCATCAACGTCATATTTGGAATAGCCCGTTCCATAACATTAAACATTCTGAAACATGGTGTCCATTTTGTGCAGGTAATACAAAATTAACTCTTGAGGACGCGAAGCAAATCGCATTATCTAGGCATGGTGAATGTCTTTCAACTAAATATATTAACATAAACGATCCGCTTATCTGGAAATGCCAATTCAATCATCAATGGCAAAACAAACTTAATCACATTAAAAATAGAGGACAATGGTGCCCATTTTGTATTGGTCGATATCAGTCAATAGAGGATATGCGTAAACTCGCGCAAATAAAAAATGGAGATTGTCTTTCAGATCAATATTATGATTCGCAAACAAAATTAGAATGGATTTGTGAAAACAATCATAGATGGGAAGCTATTCCCAATAGATTCAACAAGGGAGTTGGTGTAGGTAATATGAAATTAACTCTTGAGGATGCAAAGCAAATTGCATTATTTAGACATGGACAATGCCTTTCAATCGAGTATAAAAATAGTCAATCACAATTATTGTGGAGTTGTAAGGAAGGTCATTTATGGTACGCGTCCTTTAATAACGTGAAAAGTGGTACCTGGTGTCCATTTTGCTCAAAATTCAAACGGGAGAATTTATGTCGCGAGATTGTGACGAAATATCTTGGACCTCCGTCAGAAAATCGTTGGCCAGACTTTTTAAAAACGGTTGAATCTCCTCAAGGTCTACAACTTGATATATTTTACCCAGAATATGGTTTGCAATCGAAGTACAAGGAGAACAACACGAAAAATATATCAAATTCTTTCACAAAGGAGATCCCAATAATTTTATCAAACAGCAAGAGCGGGATCAACTCAAGAAAGAATTATGTGAAGAAAATTGGATCGTTTTAAGATACGTTTGGTACTATGAAGACCCATATGTGGTTATTCCAGAGCATCTTCGAGAATTGGGTCTTATAGAATAAACTTAAAACTTTAATTACAGTACTTGCGTGAATCATTTTTTGTGCGAGTGGATACAGTAGAATGCTTATATTTTCGGCGTGGGGCCAGTGTCGATCAAGAATGCTCCGATACATCACTACACCATGTTTAAAAAATATATGCTCGAATCATGGGTGAAACTTTATTGATATTATTTTAGAATTTGTAAGGAATAATCGCCTGAGTTGACGTATTTTATTATCTAATATTCACGCTCATATCATATTACTATTTAATGGGTAACCACGTATATGATGCTAAAATATCAAAGATGGTTCCTATCACTATGTTATATAACGGGACCATATCCTTCTCTGCCTGAGCCTTATACAATGCGTCCGCATATTCTTTTCGATCAAGTTGTTGAAAAACAAGGGGTGGAAAACCACCACGGGCAAGATAAAGCGCCATGAGTAAACGTCCCACACGTCCATTACCATCGTAGAATGGATGAATATGAAGGATGGACGAAAGTATGCGACATGCGTTCATAAGAGGGTGAATTTGATATGGTTCATGAACCTCAACGTTATCGCTAGTGACGGTCTTGTTGTAAAATTGTACAAACCTTTCCGTCAACGCGGGCACTTCCTCTCCATACTACAGAGAACACAAATTGAGCCATAATCGAAACTTGATAAGCGGAGATTAATAAACTCTTACCGGATAAACGGTCAAATGATAACCTACTGCCTGCATTGGCATTGTTCGAAACATTCCTGCTTGCTGGATTTTGCCCCATGCATTAACTCTCTCCTGTGGGGTATCTTTCAAAAGAGTATGATGGATCTTCTTTATATTGTCGATGTTTATTTCTTGTTCCGACTTTAGCAAAGTATTGTATAAGTAATGGGTCGCAAGCAGGTGGTTACGGATTTCGACAACTTCAATCTCCTTTCCAGGTTTATCGAGAAGAGATTTCGGCTCGGGTAATTGTGCTCCCTCACGTTGCAAATCGTCAATGTTATAGTCTTGGTTCATTTTTTCCCAAATGATTTGTGACTCTGCACTTCCTAGTGAATTTCCCTCTATGACGCAACTTTGATGCGAAAAACTTACAATCATACGTTGAAGAAGATCTTTAACCGGAATCTCGATAGTATCTTTTATGACAGATATCTCATCCATAAAACCGGAATTTTTTGCGTAAAAGTCTATTGAGGAAGTAACAAATTGGCATAATTGTCATTCCGAACAAAAAGTCGTGAAAACATAAAAATTTACTGTTCGTACCATAATCCTGTGCACGCCATTCAAACGGACGAAAATAGTTCTCCCAGACCTTCCCAGATTTACCAAGATCTAAATATTCTTTTGTCCCCTTCTTTAATTTTGAGAAAGAGGGAGTATAAATCTACGAGAAAAGTAAGAAGTATTATTTTCTGAACGCACGGTCTGAAATACGTAGATTCAAAAGGTACCTCTTTTAATAAAGCATTCCTCTCTTCAAGCTGAGCTATTGAAAAGTATGAACGGAGCTGAAAACTGTTGCGGAAAGAGGTGAAGACAGAACTTGTCAGGGGAAGAATTAATTTTCTGCACAACATGGTGAGTGTAAAAAAAATTGTTTCTGGAGCACATGTCATTTGGTCTGACGAGACTATTGACGCCTGAATTATGAACTACACATGGTAGCTATCTCCGTAAGGTGAATTTATTGTATTTGATCTAGATAGGCCTGGTTAAGGTTCGATACTCCACTAGATTTGCAGAAGTGCAAGATAAAAAGTATATTACCAGCTGAATCCACAAATTCTAAATTCAAATCAATAATGTATATTAATAATAAATAATATGATAATAATAAATAAGATGGATGCAGTTTATATATTGTTAGATTTATTTATAATAAGCTATGCATTGTTAACTTGTTGCATTTCTTCTCGAACCGCCCATAATAATTGGTAATGTAATGCTAATTCTTCGGCTGTCATACCATCGGGGTGATATATATATTCGAGCCATTTTTGTGCTATGATATTTACAGCTCGGATTTTTTTTGCTGTTTCTCGAATATGTTTAACTCTATTGATAAGATTTTCTATTCGTAATTCATAACGATGAATAGCTAGCCTTGTGAAAATATCACGTTCGGCTTCTGGTTTTTGTTTAAGCTCCATATACTCTTTGAAACTTATATCACAATGTCTATTTCCAGTACAATTTGTACGCCAATGTTCCTCCATCTTATAATTGTGATATAATTCATATCCTATTGAATCAATGGTTGACTGAACTACTATAATTTTGTTTTAGAAAAACTTATTACCGACACTAACATATTTTATACGTTTCAGGTTTCTCTTAAATTCGGAAGCCCAACAGAGGAGAATCTTGTCTTTTCGAACAAGAAAAAAATTGGAAAACGATTGGTAACGCATTCATATTATGGGAGTTATGGTTTTTTTTTGCTTGTTCTTACTCGATACTTCTGTAGAACGATTTAATCCGAAATGAGACATCCCGTTCGTTGCTATTATATGAGTTGAGGGACCTCTTTGAATCCTTCGATGCCAGCAATATTGAATGGAACGATCCACTCAGCTTTGGTTGTATTGTTGATCGAAACTCAGACATAATTTTTGGAAAGTTGCCAGAAGAACAAAAGAAGAATTTGAGAGAAATTATAAATTTGGCATATGATCAATACGAAACAAGCCCCGTTATTTCTGACTTGGTTAAAGTCCTTTTAGAAAAATCAAAGAGCTTGAATAAAAGGGAAATGATGGTTTCACTCCCACCTATACCAGCGGATTTCCAAGGAAATGATGAGGAGTTTGAAGACATATGTGTGATGCATAGGATCATAGACTCAGTGTAGGTAATTGAGCTTCTCTGTCTTGATAATTAACCAATTTCTAATACTCTTATTCTTATAGCCAACATACTGTATATCTAACTGATAGCATATATATGATAGCATTATAGATAGCATTTTTTCGTGATATACTCTATTGCTTTGCAAGCCGTATTGTGGAACAATGGCACTTGCATGCCTAGGGGATTCTCCGAATCATGGCTCTTCGAGTTTATAAAATAAAATGCTTTGCATCTAGCATACATATAGCATATCCCGATTGCATTAAAATTTTAATTAAAAATTCTATGCGGTATATAAAATGACAACAATGCAAGATCGCAAGAGCATGCTAACTCAAACTATTGATAAAATTATAACGCAAAAGATTGAGGAGGCAGACTGCAACATTAAGCCAGATCAAGCTATCAATAAACTCTTAATACAGGAGATTGGAAAGGGTTTCAAAGCTTATATAGAAAAGCTAGATGAAGAATACGATTCTGAGTCGGATTTTGATTTTATATCTATTCGCAAACCCACAGTTAAAAATCCTGTTGCTACTAATAATGTATAAATCGCAAGATATACTATCACTTTTTTTTTGCTCATGTGAGCCAGTGACGGAAATCGACCACGACTAGACTACTAAACTGGCATACATTATGTCGCATATGGGTGACAACAAAAATCGAACGTCAAACCACCCGCATATTTTGATGGTGACGACGAACTCGTGAACCAATCGTCACTCGAATGACGATGCACACACGATCCAGTCGTCACTCGAATGACGACACATATGTGATCCAATCGTCATTGGGATGGTTATAGTCCGAACTAAGTGGTATAATTATAATCTATATAGATTATAATTATACCACTATATTTGCTCTAGCTATATGTCTTCTAGCTAAGGACATTCCTCCTCTTTTCATTGCTGTAAAGAAGTCATGCATATCCCCTTGATGCTCATTAAATAATTCTAATTTTACCTTTGTTACCTTCATACACTTTACAGAAACCTGTAGTTTTTATAAATCTCTTTGTGACATCGGAATAAGATCACCACTATCTAACAGGCATCACATAATGAGATCACCATGAGGATTCTACTTTTAGTGTATTGTCGTAACGACGAAATTTAGTGACGTATTCCTCCTAGATTTCTGCGCAGCTCCGATGGTAACGCAAGGATTTCGAT